TCAGAGACACTTGTATACTCAAGAGTTAGAAGTAGAGACTCACTTAAGAATATTCTATGTACCTTTAGGATTTACTCTATATGCATATTTTATCTATCCAAATATTTCATTTCCAATCTTATTAATTTCTAAATATAGACTAAGAAACTACATATAAGTGATAATGAAATGTACTATGCTCTGTGTTTTGTATTAAGCAAAATCAAAATACTTCTAGTTAATGATATTAAAAAGTTGCCCAGTATTTTTCAAAGAGCTAGGTTTCAAAACCTAATTTAAAAATGGAAAGGAAAATGAAATCTTTTATAACCCAAAGCATAAAACTATACAGAAATAAGTTAAATTTTCATTTAAGATATTATTCCATATATCACAGCATTGCTTATACCATATTAAATAGGAGGAAAAGTCTGAATTATTAAAGAATATAAAGTGGAGCAGCAACACTAATAGCTAATATTATTTGAGCTAATTGCTTCTGGTTAATAATTTTCTAACAGCTATAAAAATGTCCACTTTGACTGGTGTGTGTGTGTGTGTGTGTGTGTGTATGTGTGTGTGTGTATGTGTGTGTGTATGTGTGTGTGTGTGTGTGTGTGTATGTGTGTGTGTGTGTGAGCACATCAAGGGACAGCTTGTGGAAGTTTGCTCTCTTTCCAATCTGTGGATCCCAGAGATCAAACTTGGTCATCAGGTAATCACTTTTACCCACTAAGCATCTCACCAGCCCTATTAATTTATTTAGAAATTATCATATGCTTACATACATAAAGATTGTAAAAAATAATGTTGCACATCATGTAGTCTTTTAAAACCTCATGACAAAACTAAGAGTGGAAATATTTAATACTGGAGGTTGGAAAGATGGTTAAGAGGTTAAGAGCATTAGCTGCTCTTACAGAGTCCTGGGTTCAATTCCAAGCATCCACGTGGGGGGAGAGGCTCACAATTGCTGTGACACCTTCTCCTAGTCTCTTGGGGGACCCACACACATTTGTATATACATGGTGAACAAAGGTGTATATACACTCAGCTACAGTCACAACACTGAACAAAAGAAATCTTTAAAAATATACCTAATACTACCTTTGCTTTATTAATGCAAACAGTTTTGCCTTCTCAGGCACATGCAGTGTCTTGGAGATGCACAGGGATATCTGGAAATGAGTTGGAGAATGCCCATACTACCAGTCCTTGAGGTGAGGTGGAAGGAGGGCCACAGAGGACATAAGCTCCTCAGCATCAGAAAGCAGGGCTTAGGATCAGAAAGTAAGTTTATTCCCAGGTCCAAGGAAGCAGAGGAAACATTTCAGAAAGTTTCAGAGAGAAGCAAGCATCCTACTGCTCTCTTGGCACTCACAATACCCAGCCTTTTGTCTACCTGTTAGGATAAAACTCCCAATGACACTTTCAGTTTGTGCACAGCAGAGAGAGGGGGAAAGGAAAGAAGCCATCAATACTGTTCAAGCCAGCCGAGGTCTACAGTGAGGGAAGCAATTCTACACTTCCCTGAGGCAGTCAATGCTCTGGCTTCCTCTCAGAGACAGCTCTCCTCCTGCCCAGTGCAGGCCATCTGTATCCCTCCGGAGCTCTTACAACACACAAAAACACTTTTGAGGTTTTGAGAAGCATTTAAAAAAAAAGACAACTTCCAGCTTTGCTGCCTGGACTGGCATTGAACTTGCGGTCATTCTCTTGCCTCAGCCTCCCAGCTGCTGAGATTGTGGGCATGCGTCGACATATCTGACTCAAAGACACTTCTACAACATTCCGCCTACACAGGAGAGAGACTGCTTTCAATCCTTCAATGGCTGAACAGTAATAAACTCTTTACCTGATGTTAAAGCATTTTATAAATTGATAGCTCTTAATGGAGTATTGAACTTATGGAAGATAATGCAATAGATTAGAAGTCAGTTGAAACTGGATCTAATTATACAAAAGGTAGCATGCCATACCCTAGGCCTAACAAGTCAAACAGCAAATATAAACTGTTTAGAAAGTTAAAACTAAACATCTATTTAGACTTTCACTTTTAACCATAAACCATGATAAATTCCAAACAGAGCAACTGCTTTTATAAATGGGGAGAGTTGACCCTGTACACCACACCATTCCCAGGGCCTCCCTTGGGGCTAGTGTGCAGCCAACTTGGAAAATGTTGATGAACAGAAAAAAACTTGAACTCAACTTCCAACTCTGTTGATCATTATGCAACCTGGGCAAGTGTTTCTGTGTCTCTGTCCTTCACATCCAGTTTATAAAGCGTAATTCAAAATGACACCAAGAACGTGAGAATAAAGTTACGTACAAATCAATAGAAGGAGTCGGCACAGTGCATGTACAACTCAAGTCCAGGACTTGGAGGCAAAGGCAAGAGGACAACTACTGCTACAAGTCTGAGGCCAGCCTGAGCTACACGGTTACTCGAGGGCCAGCCTACACTACAGGGTCAGACTCTGTCTCAAAAGGAAAGGAAAACAAACAATATCCTAAGTAATCAAGATTAGGAAGGTGCAGTCATCCACATTACTAGTCTTCTACTATGCTTAATATTAATATTTTAGTGCTAAGAACAATGCCAACTCTTTTAGTAACCATCTTTATTTAATAAAGTAGATTACATTATAAGAGCATATACTTTCCCTTAGGGCTTCAGTAAAATTGTCTTATTTTGGTTTGGGGAAGTTGCAGCCCATAAACATATCTCTTTTTCCTGAATTGGCCCATTTACCAAAGAGACCTGGCTGGCATCTCTACCCTATGGGACATGGGAAATTTCCTTTCACTGTAACTGTCAGTAAAGCCAAAGGCAAGACCCAGGCATCCATGAAGGGCTGGGCTGGGAGAATGAGGGCAGGAGGGCATGCTCCCAAGCAGTCAGGGACTTGGAATTGGAAAAGCACTGGAGGGACACTAAGCAAAGCAAATACTTGCCACTTGTCTCCAAAACCAGAGGTGCCACCCCTCCCACACAAATCAGAACATTACAATGAGGTGACAGACACAAAGCTCCTAGATGTTAAGTACAGGACAGCTAGACAGTCAGCTGGACTGTAAATACTTTTCCTCTTTCTCTCACAAAGCTACAGGAGGGCTGGGATGCAATACAATGCTTGCCTGGCAGGAACAAAGCCTTGGAATCCATCCCCAGACATCACAGCCAAACAGACACACCTAAAGCTATACTTTCCCTGACTTTTCTAACAATACTTCTCCCCAGGCCCTAGAGGAGAATCACTCAGGTTCAAGGAGAGGTAAGAGGACAAGAACTTGTCCATCATATATCTAGTCCATCTAATTGCAAGGCATTGCTTCATGTCCCATGCTACTCAGCAAGCCCTGTAACCAACACCATCCCTCCCTGGAATCGGCACCATCCCTCCCCGCTCGACTTCCTGCAGAGACACACAGATGAGGTTCAGTACTCTTTGCAGAGCCCTTCCCATGGAATGAGATGTGACCAGAGCTTCTGGGAGCTACACGGTGCTGCCCTGCTACCCTTAAGTTCCTGTCACACTTCCACTGCAGTGGCTGAATCCAGACTCACACTGCCCCTGGTGGTTAACCTAGATTATCACCTTGACAGGACCTAGACTCAGCTAAGAGACAAGCCTCTGAGCATGCCTGTGGGACAAGATTAGGTCATGCCCGTCAAGGTTAATGGAGGTGAACGATCCCCTTAACTATGGGCAGCACCATTCTATAGGCTGGGTTCCAGGACTAGGCAAAAAGGAAAGAGTGCTCTAAACTTCAAACTTCCTGACTATGGGCATGATGTGACCATCTACCTCAAGCTCTTGCTGCCTTGATACTGCGCCATGACAGGCTGTACTCTCAAACAAACAGGGAGACAACTAAACCTTCCTTTCCTTGAGTTGCTTCTGTCGGCTATTTTGTTTCAGCAAGACAAGCAACTAGCAGAGCCCACTAAAAGGGAGGAGCTATGGGGACAAATTTAAGCGTCTTCGACCTTGTACAATATCACAACTGCCTTACACATAAATCTAGAATACAAAACAAAACTTTGTTAAGTGTTAACATGAAGATGTGAAGCTGCTCACACTTGTTAATATCAGACCCTCAGGTATGAGAAACTAAATAATGCATATAGTTACAATTTATGAATAAAGCCTCATACTGTTCATTCAGTTTGGCTCAAGTCTGAAGCACTCGGGGCCCTGGCTAGTACAGGAGTAATGGGAGGCCCTGCCCGGTTCATAAGCAGCTCCTAGCTGTACCACTTTAGATCACTCTCCACTGCTTTCCCAGCCTATGAACTCAGCAAGAAACCATCACTTCGTCTGGCCTCCTGGAAGAATGCATTCATGGATGTCCCTTGCAGTATGTGGCACAGATCCTACAGTTTCTATTAGAGTCCTATGTGATTTCCTCTGCTTTCACCCCCTAAGATAGAGTCTCCCTACGCATCCCAGGCTGGCTTCAAATTCCTAATCCTCCTGACTCTAGCTCCTAAATGCTGCAATTACATGTGCACCACCCCACCACATCTGTATTCTACTCCAAATTTACCTATTTTCATCATGTCTTTCCATTTCTCATGCTCTGTTTAGACCATCTTTTATTTTACTTGGGGGAGTATATCATTCTGTAAACATGATTATTCTTTGTAGTGTGTGTGTGTGTGTGTGTGTGTGTGTGTGTGTGTATACACACTATAGTACAGCAGTTTCTCAACATCTGGGTCATGATCCCTTTGGGGTTAAATGACACTTTCACAGGGGTCATCTAAGACCATCAGAAAACACAGATATTTATGTTATGATTCATAACAGTAGCAAAATTATGGTTATGAAGTAGCAACAAAAATAATTTTATGGTTGGTGACCACAGCATGAGGAGGAACTGTATTAAAGCATTAGGAAGGCTAAGAACCACCTGCTCTAGTATGATTAGAGTGTATACAGTTTTTAAAGGAGAAAATATCTATGAATTGTATCCATAATTTAGAATTATAACAACAATAAATATTTCCAAACCTCACATCCACTGTATTATTTGTTTCATGGTCAAACACTTCAAAGGCATCTTTGATCTTCTTATGATATTCTGCCACTATTACCTCTGCAAAATGCAAAGTAAACAAAATTAATTATTTATTCAAAACAAAAATCTCAGTAACCTAACTAGAAATCTTTTGGGGTTTTTTGTTTGTTTGTTTTGTCTGACCATCTGTCTGTCTCTTTTGAGACAGGGTCTCACTATCAAAATATGTAGACCAAGCTGTCTTTCAATTTCCTCAATGCTGACACTCCAAGCACGTGCCATCACGCCTGGCTAAAGTCAAAAACTAAATAAGGAAGAACCTGAAAGAGTCATTCTTGGTCTCTTTTATCATATGCCATGTTAACTACCTCTGGAAATGCCAAAGAACAGATCTGACGAAAGCAGGTTCAAGAAGGAAGGGGCTGCTTTGGTTCAGTCCCTCATGCTGGAGAAGTCATGGCACCAAATATTTTTTCCTGAGGCATAACAGTAAACTTACTTCAGTTTTCATCTTCTGTGTGGTGTGGCATAGTGTGGTGTGTGTGTATTGTGTGTGCTCATGCCTACACCAAACATGGAGCTCACTGTTACAGATGGATTAGCTAGCCACACCCCAAATCCACCTGTCTCTGCCTCTGCACTGCTGGAGTTATAAATGGGCCCTGCTTAACCCTCCCCCCTTATATGTTTGCTAGGGATTCAAACCCAGGCCCTCTTGCTTGTACCACCTCTTTCAATTTCAGTCGCTGAGACATCTCCCTACTGAGCAATCTCTGCAGTCCCTAATGTTGATCTGCAATACACAGTGTTCATACTACTAAAAGCCACCACCCAGCTCTCAATTGAAGACATTCCAGCCTACCCTCTATCTATGTAGTTTGGGTGCCATTCTAGCTCAACAAGAAAGTTAACTTAAGACAACAAACACCATTTACTTATTAGGCCTGCTCATCCCCTTTGTTCTGTTCTTGAAGAGGGTTGAAGGTAGGTGAGAGGCATTTAAACCCACCTGTGCATCCTTCAAAGACCTTTAAACAAGGGATTAAAGCTTACTTACATGAACTAGTGAAGTAGTCAATAAACATTACTGAAAATGTACTACATTCCAGACACTAACAAGGTCATAGCAAGAAGCAAAAACAGACAGAAGTTCTTCCTCACAGCTATTTTTATTGGAAATATATATATGAATGTCTACATATTTGCTGACATATACAGTAGGTTGTATGACCTTAAACACAGAAAAAAAGAGTAAGAGATGTGAAGAGTCCCGGTAAGAATGCCGACCTTAGTGACAAGGTAACAGCTGCCAGGTAGGAAAAGCCCATCTGTAAATATCTCCAGAAGAGCAACCTAAAGATCAGAGGGTTGTGAGCTCTTGGGTGGAGGGCTGAATCCTTTTTTTTTTTTTTTTTTTTTTTTTTTTTTGGTTTTTTCGAGACAGGGTTTCTCTGTATTGTTAGAGGCTGTCCTGGAACTCGCTCTGTAGACCAGGCTGGCCTCGAACTCACAGAGATCCGCCTGCCTCTGCCTCCTGAGTGCTGGGATTAAAGGCGTGCGCCACCAACGCCTGGCAAGGGCTGAATCCTTTAAGGATTTTGAACTTTCCTGTGAATGCAACAAGAACCCACTGGAAGGTTCTAGGCACAATAGTGACCTGGTCTTCTTTTCACCTTTGTCACTGTGTTGAGAAGACACTTGAAAAGGAAAGGTGGTCACAGAGAGCAGTGCAGAGACTGCTTCAGTATCTCTTTCAGATATGGTCAATGGCTGTCTCTATTGCTGTGAAGAGATACCTTGACAACAGCAATTCTTATGAAGGAAAACATTTAATTGGGGTGGCTTACAGTTTCAAGGTTCAGTCCATTATCATCATGGTGAGAGGCATGGCAGCAGGCTGACATGGTACTGGAGAAGGAGCCGACCGTCCTACATCTGATCCACAGGCAGCAGGAAGTCTGTCACACTAGGCCTAGCTTGAGCATATAAGACCACAAAGCCCACCTCCACAGTGACACACTTCCTCCAACAAGGCCACACCTCCTAACAGTGCCACACCCCATAGGCCAAGTCTATGGAGACCAGGCCTATTCAAACCATCACAGTGGCTGAGACAAGAAGGGAAACCATAGACATAGAAAGAAATGATAGGATTCTGGTTATGATCACTAAGATGTGCTGACAGATTTGAAGGGGTGAGGGACAAGACAGTGTCTCAGTGAGTAAGAGAAGAGGCAACTAGAGATGCATCTCAGTGATGGAGCACAAGTGAGGAGCTATAAATGGTGAACCTCAAGTTTTTACACTGATACAGCCATGTAAGCGTGTCTCGTGTGAACCAATATGTACAACAGGATACCCGGAAAGGAAGAGAAGGATAAAGTATATTTTATCACAAATATAAAACCACCAAATATGGAATGAGACCTCATACCTGCCGCCACCGTAGGAAGAGGCCACAGGAAGGAATAATAGTTTAGACGTCAAAAGAAAAAATGGGAAATTTTTATAACACTCATTCTCTTAAAGCAACCACTAATCCTGTTGCCATATTTTTCTCCATCTTTCATTATCACCATTCATTCACTCAAAAGTATTTACTGGAAATTTTCAAGGTGTCTAGCTCCAGGTTGGGTGCTTTATTTATAACACACAGAGCCACAGAGCTGAATACCTCATTCTTAGAACTGAAGAAACCAAGGCTCATTGAGGTTCAGCAACTCACCCAAGGTCAGAGTTCACTAGGGGTAGAGGTGGATGGAATCCAGATTTTCCTACTGAGTCCTGTTCCTCCCTCAGACTCACCCCATCTGACTATCAGTATTCATAGCATAAGAACTATAACCTGTAGTTCCTTTGTCTAAACGCTCTTTTCCAGGCTGTGGCATAATCTTCCATCTTTAGCAGCACCACAGGAACACAACAGAATTTATTGACATAATTAAATTTTACTATAACATGGCAATGAAAAGCGTGCTAATTTTATAAACAAAACATAAATGTTGCTTCATTACTTAAATTTACACTTCTCTGATTACATGTGAACTCAATAATAGCCCATGTGTGTGCTTACCACCTGTTCTCAGTTATTAACTGTCAGCTTGTGTTCTCTTCTCAACCCCTACCAGGGTCTTCTATTATTCCTTAACCATGTGTGTGAGCTCCTTGGAAAACAAAGACTTAACCCTGTCAAAAGCACTTTAATTTAATTTGGTTTTGGATAATGAGAGCAGATGCTCTTGCTGACCATCAAAACCATCCAATACCAACAGCAAAGGATACAGAAGAGTTTAAATTAGCTAAAATCACCTAAAAACCTTTATCTTCTCCAATACCAACAGCAAGGCAAAGGATACAGAAGAGTTTAAATTAGCTAAAATCACCTAAAAACCTTTATCTTCTCCAAGAAGAATCTGTTGATATTGTTCTATAATCTTCCACTCACTCAAAGATAACTTGTAAGTATTCTTCCTTCTCTAAAGATATTGTATTACACATTTTTGTGACTGCTTGGTATTCAATTAGAGGTTTTTATCAAAATTAATTCAACCAATTCCGTAACTGTGGATATTTAGATTATCTTCATTAGTGAACAATCTTGTCCAGTTCATTTTTGTGCATTTGCCATCTATCTCTTTGGAATTCAATGGTGGAGGAGGCTAGGGAGATGGTTTGGTCAGAAAAGTGCTCACTGAAAACCATGAGGACCTGAGTTCAATCCCTGCAGCCACATAAAACTCTGCTCCGTGCTTGTAACCTCAGTGCTCAGGAGACAGAGACAGGAGCAGTCTAGCTAAATCAGTGAGCTCCAAGCTCAAAAACATAAAGTGGACAGCAATAAAGGAAGCCATCTGATGTTAGTTCTGGCCGACACACACACTCACATTCACACAATCTCACTCACACTCATGCATTCACACGTACACAATCGAGCATACACACACACACACACACACACACACACACACACACACGAATGAAGTTATGTGGAATATGAGAAAGGTGGTGCTGCTGCTGTTGTCGAGACAAGGACTCACATATTCCAGGCTGACTACACAGCAGAGGATGACCTTGAACTTCTGATCCTCTTTCCACCACCTCCTGAGTACTGGGACTTCATGCAAGTGCCCCCACTATTTCACCCATGCTAGGCAAGTACTGTACCAACTGACCTACATCCCTAACCCCAGGGAAGTACATGTTAGTCATAACCATCAGAAATCAGATAGAGAGCCCACTGTTAGCCACTCTGGAATGGAATTCAGGGAATTACTGGAGAAATGGATTGATATGGCAGAAACCCAAAGAGCTAGCATTCATCTTAGAATGCATCCAGTTGGGATTGAGGGACCAGTGACTCTCCAAGACTGTAACATTCATCATCACCCACGTCAGCCACTTCTGCTCCTCTGTTCCTCTGTAGTTTTTTTTTTTTTTTTTTTTTTTTTTTAGTTTTTCGAGACAGGGCTTCTCTATTGTTTTTTAGAGGCTGTCCTGGAACTCATTCTGGCCTCGAACTCACAGCAATCCACCTGCCTCTGCCTCCCAAGTGCTGGGATTAAAGGTGTGTGCCACCAACGCCCGGCTCACTTTTAGCCTTTTAGCAGCGGCCAAAATGGCTGTACTGTGTACAGATTAAGTCTTTATCATTATTTTAAGAGGCACTGTTTTTTCTGTTTGTTTGGAGACAAGTCCTCACTATGCAGCCCAAGTAGGTCTGTAACTCCAACTCCTCCTGTGTCCATGATCTGATTATGAGTTACCACAGCCACCCTTGGAATTATTATGAAGTAATGATTAATATAAGAAAGTTCAACTGAATTGATAAACCAGTTATATTAGCAAAAAAATTAAGTTATATTTGTCAGTTAAAATGTATAACTTTAATAATTGCAATTTTCAATGGTTTCAATGTGTTTTCACATTTTTAGTGAAGTTTCTCATTGATGCAATACTATCCAAAATTTAGAGACTTGTACAAAAATTTGTATCAAGAATTGAATCTTGGTAGCCGGGCGTTGGTGGCGCACGCCTTTAATCCCAGCACTCGGGAGGCAGAGGCCAGCCTGGTCTACAGA